GATTAACTCGTCCCAGAGAAAATGCTTCCAAAGACATTTCAAGTTTTTGATGATGTCTCTGCACAGAGATGGGTTAAGAGTGACAGAGTGAAATTGCTGCTGCTACTGAAAACACTTGTCCACATGTAAAGCATAATATAGATTAGTTGTGTTTCCCTTCAGGCTGTCCTGCAGGTTTCTACGGGTCTCGCTGTGCTGAGGTGTGTCGCTGTCAGAATGGAGCAGACTGTGACCACATCACGGGACAGTGCTCCTGCAGGACAGGCTTTATAGGACACAGCTGTGAGCTCAGTGAGTGTGTCTTACATGCAGGAGAGTTGCACATTCACTTGTTAAAGTTCAAGATGTCTTAAATCCCTGTTCCTGTGTCCAGAGTGTCCCGCGGGGACATTTGGCTACGGCTGCCAGCAGCTGTGTGAGTGTATGAACAATGCCACCTGTGACTACGTGACCGGAACCTGCTACTGCAGCATCGGCTTTAAAGGCATCCGTTGTGACCAGGGTGAGAACAACTGGCTCTGTGAAGAGAAAGGATGGAACATGATCGGATTTATTCTTTTGGTTTCTTTAGATATGCCCTCAGTTCAGTTGAATAATAAAATATAAAATAACAGAACATCTGCAAAACTCATACAGACAAATCTTCATATAATCGTAGATATGTACTAAGGTAGTAGATAAGACTGTTCCTAAAAGATGGAAGTACAAAGACCTCTCGAATAGACAGACAAATGATACTCTGATAAAAAATATTAATGGTCTTTAGCTGGAACTGAACCAGCAATCATTCACTTGCCAAGTAAATGTATAAACCACTACAATGATTGAATAACTGTTTTGGTTAAAGGGGAAACACAGTAGTGACAAATAAAAATATACTAAATATGCAATTCTTAAATACTCCAAATGAAATCAAGTGGAAACAAAAGTAATGACTGCAAATACAGAATACATACTGCATGATCACCCAAGCAGAGCACCAGAGTCGTCAGTGTGACTTCCAGGAGTGTGCGGTCATGGTATTGCAAGCTTCCAAGGGCGTACACAAGATCTGCACAGAGGGAGGGATTAATGCAAGGCATCAAAACAGAATCCACACCAGATGGCAGC